TCCACTGCTAATAAATTATTTGTTGTCCCCCAGAATGCGACTCCATGTTTAGATCACTGGGTGTTTCTGTATCTTTGATTTTTGTAGTTCTTTGTTAAACAAGGATATAGTGATTTAAAAACCTCTCAGCATTTGGTTACATACCAACACCAACAGAGTTTGCCCCCAGCACCAGTTAGTTGCTCTTGTATAAAGCTAAGAAAGCTCCATGGCTTCTGGCGTGGGTGTCTTGAATCGGACCCCTGGTTATTTAGTTGTACTCACATGCCCCTCTGACTAGAAGTGGGAATTTGATGACACCTAAATAAGCCACATGAGGTCAGCTCTAACATCTTTATGATCTTATCTGCTTTCTTGTGTTTATAACTATTCCTCTGAAGCAAGCCTGGGAAGAAAACAGGAGTAGTCAGTCTCTGCTCCCATCTCAGGCCAAAAGTCAATGATTTATAGAAGCCTGAGGAGTGCAAATGGGCGTGTGTGTGGGTGTCCACGCATGCACACATGTGGAAAGGTGATAGTAGTGTAGAGGACTGGGATTTATGATCATTCCAGAAGTATGCCAATGAATAAAACGTTCATAATAATATTTAGGGCTAGACCGATATATATAGATTTATGAAGCCATTTAAGGAAAATACAAATAGACAACAATTTATGAGGATATGGGCAAATACATCATTAGAGTAAGGATACACCATATAAGCTCATCAACCATTCTAGGATTTACAGCTATGTACAGGAAACTACTACTAAAAGCAAGATTGAAGGCCGTATAAGCCCATCTAATCATACCTCTGCTTTTCAAAGAAATCACTGCCAGTGCAGCAGTGACTGGAAACTGCAGCACTCATGCCAAACTGGCTGCCCCAGGTGCAGGAGCTCTGCTCAGCCAGGCTGAGCCCCACACCGAGGAAAGCTGAGAGTAGCACAAAGGATCCCCACCACCATGAAGGCAGTAGTCAGGAGAGATCAAGATGGGTGGAGGAGTCATTGGCTCCTCTGGGCTCCCTGGGGCTCCAAGAAAACTGAAATTGTTCCGGTTGTGGGGAACTGGATGCAAGCACAACATCTACGCTTCTCTTGTGGCTCTTTCATCTCAATCCCAGACCAATAAAATGAGTATTTCCCAAGGGGTGATGCTCACCTTTCCTCTCATTAAGGCCAGGAAGTGGGCTGCAAGGAAGGAAATATGTGGTGATGGAGCAGCTCCCAACCACAGGTACTGAGGCAAGGCTGCAGTCCAGCACAAGAACTGGAATAACATCCCATTACTCTATATAAGCGAGTATTTTTCCATGTGGATTTTTTGGCACATTCATTGTTTTCCATACTTTGGCAGACAAGTATGGTCCTAATTTAATGAAGCATTACGTGCAAAACTGAATTATAATAATTCACATGTTAGCGCTTCAGCCAGTTTCATCAATGATGACTCCATGGTAAACAGTCTGTTAAAGCAAAAAGGAATTTAATCATAAGGAACCACTGAAGAAGAATATCAGTAAAAGTGACTTTCAGGAGACTAGGGTGAATTATATATATATATTTACATATATATATATATATTTGCTTATACAATTTAACCCATGAATTCTAGGTTGTGTGTGAATGATCTTTAAATGAACTGTGGATTTTTAAAAATCGTTACTAAAGATTTTTCTGTGAGTGTTTCAGACCTAGTTTCACACAATGCAAGATGCATTTGTCCCAGGTATCCTTGATTCATTATCAATTAGAAGGAATAAGCAGTCTCTACTTGCTTTACTTGCTTCATTAATCATCATTTTAATGATGTAAAAGAAGCAAAAATAGGAGCAAAAAAGGAGAAGTAAAACTAAATTTTAGAGAATAAAGGAAATAGCATGGTTTTACACACGCAGAGGATCAAGTCATTACCACTGTCACATTTTTCAGGAGCAAAATTAGTCTTTAACAGACAAAAATTCTGTGATGGATTAATATCAGTGCTGGGAAATTTCCAGTGCTGGGTACTAATAATTTCTGAATAGATTTATATGGTGCTGTTGTATAAACAGCTCTCACTGTAGGCACAGCCCTGTAAAAAAGAGATGTTGAGTTTCCCAGCTCCAGCTGAATTCTCTGGAAGCCAAGGCCAGTCATCCCTCCCAAACGTATCTTTGTACCTTATGAGAAGAGCACCTTGAAACACCCAAAAGTTTCTACAGCTCGTGGACAGCCTGGTTCTGCTTGGGGTAACCTCCCCACCCTTGGAGATACTCCAAACCTGTCCCTGGGGCGAGGCACTGAGCAGCCAGAGCAAGCTGGACCTGCTTTGTGCAAGGGCTTGGACATGAGACCTCCGGAGGTGCCTCCAACACGGGGTTATTCTACAGTTCTGCTGCACCATTTCAAATCTACTGCTTGGGCACACAGAGAGCTCCTTGGAAAGGTCATTTTATCACCACCTGTCAGTATTTCTGCGTGTCCATCACTTTAATCTCTCGAACTCAGGACTTTCCTAGGAGGTATATCCCTTGTTGCAGTGCAAAAAGCTCCTCCCAGCTCAAGCTGCCTCTGCTGTACAGTTGTCTGAGCCAGTCCCTAGGTGTGGCTTCTGCCTGACAGTACTGAAGGGGAGGATCCACCTCTCCTGTCTCTGGTGATCTTAAAGGTAGAGCCTGGCCTATGGGGGAGAGTCAGTGGAGGAAGAAAAAAAACACCCAGAAGAGAGTTCATCCCATTTTAAGACAGCAGGGCTGAACTGCCCCCTGGAGGTACCTGCATCCCTCCTCTGCTCACAGAGGCACCCTAGGCGACAGATTTTGGACAGGGCTCTACTTTCCAGGCAGCTGGCATTACGAGAGGTGAATGCCCGCTCTTCAGGCAGATGAACAGAAAAATCCTGGATGAAAATGGCCACATCTCCCTGTGACAAAAGGTTTGAGAGCACAGCGCTGAAACCCTGAGCACGCAGTGCCCTTTCCTAAGTACAAGAAATCTTCTCGTTTCTCCCCTTCAGAGCATTAAACGTTGGACTTGCCACTAAAAGGAGAAGTAGCAAGAGTCAAGCAGATCATCTCTGAATAATTTCATTCTCCTTTGTGGACTGTTTTTGGTTTGCTTTCTGTTGCTAGCCTCTGAGAACAAAGTACTGTGTTTTCACCACGTGCATAAAGAGAAACATTTGTGAAGTACTGAGTATTAACCAGTTCCTAGAAGAGGAGCTGAAACATCTCCCAGTTGAATCTCTGTGAGCTAAATTCCTTGTAGCAAGAGGGCAGCGGTGATCAAAGAAGCAGACATTTAAAAAGTAGGGAAGGGAAATAGCATTGTATACTATCCTGTATTTACAGCACTTTCCTTCAGCTGATGGCCAGCTGCCACACATGGGACATCAGCATTACTGTTCCCATTTCACAGAAAGGACAGTAACAGTGAAGAATGGGGAGAGGAATTCAACCACAGACTCAGGTCTGACTCCAAAGTAATCATTCAGAGCTGAGTTTGTTGCAAAGTCTCCTCTGGCTCAGGCTACGTTTAACCCCCCATTCCTACCATGGCTGAGGATGAGGGGATTTTTATCCATGCTTAGAGATTCAAGGTACAAACCATGGACAGATATGTTAGGAAAGAGCAACAGGATAAGTGAATATATTCTCTTCAGTGGACTGTGAGACGTCAAAAGAAGTGTTAAATTTCTTCTTCCAATATAGAATAGCTGATTAAAACAAATGCAAACTGCACACAATGCAATAAAAAACAAATGTTCCGTTTTCCACTTCTTCTTGCTACAGCTGTTTGTTTTAAACATATAAAGATTAAGGGAACAGTCTTGAATTTAATTAAATCCCAAAAGAACTAATGATATTTATGCATATTAAATTTTTAAAGGCACTTGTGGCTGTTCAGCCAATCATTCACTGGACTGTCATAACATGCCTCCCAACCTTAATTTAAATTAGAAAGAAGAGACCCATGAAAAAAAATGTGCAGACAGTAACCTTTCCACTGCACATACGTTTAAGAGATAAACACCCATCTAGCTTTAAAAGGCAACAAATCTAATAAATGGCTACATCATCATAATTCAACAGTGGAAAAAAATCAATGTTACAAATTTTGGAACTGCATCTCTCAGGAAAGTAAATTAAAACATCAATTCAAACCTACTTTAAAGAGTTTATAAGGGGAACATTGACGTCTTAACACAGAAACTCCCAGACCACTCCAGGTGAAGCTGGGGCTTTCCCAGAGCTGTGAAGTAGGGAGCAGTGTTTGGTGGGGCCATCTCTGGAGCACAGCAGGAAGCCCCACCTTCCCCACAGGGGAACCCCTTCTCCAGCGAGGTCGTGCCCTTCCCTAGCCCCATACCTTCAATGCGCCAACAGGTACATTAGGACCTGGGTGTGTGACGAAGATCTCACAGTCAGAGGAAAAATGCTCGCTTGCTCTTTTTGCAGTAAATCAAGAAAGCCTCTGATGGGGCCCTGAGTAAGTCCCTGGTCTAAAGCTAGAATCTCTGAACCTTCTCCCTTGTTATTAAGTTGGCTGTAAATGCAGGCTGCAGAGGTGCAAGGCCTCCTATTCTTCCACCCTGAGTAATTTTCCCACCTTGTGTGCTCAAATATTTTTTTATCCCAGTTCACTCATAGTCATCTCTCCCACCTTAAACAATAGAGTCCTCCTTGATGCATCTCCTAAACACTAATAAAAGATGTTTCCTGTTCCAGCTACCTTTCAGCATTGCCATACAGCATTAACCAGAGATAACTGAATGCTCAATGAGGCACAGCTTCTTGCTAAACAGAAAGCCACAAATACTGCTCCTTCTTCTCTCACAAGCAATTCTGCTGTCTTTCTCAAGTAAGGATTCAGAACCTGTTTAGAAAAGCACTTCCTTGCCGTGGTTAAGCCTCTTTTTATGGTTTACCAGTAGTATCAGGAAAAGATCCAGCCATTAAGTACTGCTACGTTCTTTTTTATGATGGACTCTACAACCTTACTTTGCTGGTACGACACAGCCTTTGCCAGGCACTTACCTATCAAATACTCCAGCCAGAATTTGTCCGTCTCTGGGTTGTAGGGGCGGTTGAAGTCAACCTGGATTTGGAAGGGCTGTCCCCGACGCACTATCAGCTTGGGGCTGTAGTACTTGTCAGTGTTGTGCTGCTGCTTGTTGATCTCGTGGGGCTCCTTGAACATTTGAATGTCCACAACACGCAGGTAATCTGCAGAGACACATAAATGAACAGAGAGTGAAGGAGTCAGTAAGTTGGAGCATCAATATTGACTTCAACATCATTAGAAGCCCTGTCCTCCTCTTCCTCAACATGGCCTCATCGAGAAACATCATGCAACGGAGCATGCTGGAGCTGTTTGGGGCTTACATCCTCCTGGCTGAGCAGGGACTTATGGACTGAAACTTCTCTGTCCACCTGCCATTTTCACAGAGGCTGCAAGGCTTCTAGCAAGTGGTGAAAGCAATTGCAGAAAGAGCAGGTTGCTACGGGTGGAAAGCTGAATGTTCCCAAGCAGAGTTGGGCTCCATCTTTCCTTTGGCTTCAGCTTCCTACAAGCCTGGGCCTCACCGTCACAAATTTACCAGTAAAATCCGTGGGCCTTTGACAGCTGTGGCTTCATGTCTCTCTTCTTGCAGCCCTCCATTTGTAAAATACAAATTCACTGGGGTTTTGTGATGCTTAAATACATTAATGTTTGCAAAGCGTTACTACTATCAAGTGCTGGAGAGCCTGAGAGGCAGTTAATGATCTTGCATTCAGCTGAGAGCTTAGATTGTCTGTATTAAATAAGGTTTTGGTGTACTGTATGTGTCTAGACTCAGCTTCTCAGTACACCTCCACTGCTATTAGTGTCTTCTTATGAAAACTAAATATAACATTACAGTATGTAATTACAGCATAGAGTTACAGGCAAACAGCAGTAGGTATCTATAACATGCATGGGCAAAGCATTGCTTCCTTCAGATAAGGGCTGTCTAAAGGGTTATAGCCTATCACTGCGAGAAGTTAGTCTGCTCAGCTAATGACCAGTGTGGGGTGGCACTGGGATAACCAAAGGCACTTGCAGTCACCACGAGCTACATGACTACAATATACTGGGGATCTTCACAATGGGAGTCTTCTCACGCAACAAGCAACCACGTGAAAATGAACTGGATGTCATTCTTTTTACCCACATGCTTGGGCAGATAATCACAAAACCTCTGCCAGGAGGAGCATTACTGCTCACCACCAGGATAGAGACAGAAGAGTAAAGCTTGATTTGCAGCTTTCCACTTGTCTTTCCAGGTGCTGACAGTTAGAAACTAGCTAATTTCTGTGTTTTATACTGATGGTGACAGAGCCAAACTCATGGCTGGCAAAAAGAGGTGCACACTTACAGCAGCTGGTGGAGCTGTGTGTACTTGTGATGGTGTCTAATTTGGCCTGCTTCTGAGTGCACTCTGAGCAGGAATGATGTGTGCAGTGAATGAGTCGGATATTCAAGTCACTGAGGGCTGAAGGTGGGCCATGTCATAGAAGTTCAGGCAAAAGCTTTGCACACTGCTGTTCCCTGAAGGCAGGGAGTCACTGCATGGTGGTGGGCTCTGGAGAAGCATCAGAGCAGCTCCTCCAGGCTACAGCAGCATGTACATTAGCCCTGCCTTTCTGCAGGGATGTATTCCAGTCATCAGCAGAGCCCCGCAAGCAGCAACTCCCCTGGATAGGCACGGTCCTTCTCCTGCCCCAGCCAAGCCACCCAGCCTGGGCTCTGGGTAATGGGTTACAGGAGAGGGGGAAATAAGGAGCAGGTCCTGTTCCTGCATTGTCACCATCAGCTGCATAGCCCTGTCCTTTGGGAAACAGAAGGAAAGGAAACTGCCCCGGGACAAAGCAAGATGAAGATCCTTTCATGGGAACCCCCTGGACAACTGAACTCAAAACCATCTGCCTCCTGCTAACCCTAATCCATGGAAAGGCTGGGATACCCTGTTCAATCCTGAGGCAGGCTTAAAATCCCATGGCAATGTTATTGTTATTCTCTGCTCAATTCACCAGACTTCTGGACTAACTTCTGTAGATCCTCACTGGCTTTAGCACTGGCTGAAGTTAGAGATGTTTTTGTGTGAAATATTAAATGCGTTTTGCTCAGAAATCATTCTCATTGCCCCTCCGTGAAGTGGGGTATGTCTTTGCCTCCCTCCCTGCAAAATTTATCAAAGCTCAACCACAATGATGAACAAAGCTCACAGTTAAATTACACAATGCAGGAATTTTCTGGAGGGGGGTGAAGTGGGGGCAGGGGAGAGTCTCTCCAGTTATCTCTCCCAACCCCTCCCAGGATGAAAGCACTGCATGTAAAAGCTGCATATCTTGGGGCTCTGTGAGGGGTGAAGCTATCAGTATGTTTGTCTTGGCTTCTCTCTCCTTCCAAGGAGGCATAAACATGAAGTTGAAGGTTTGTGTTTACATCTCATGTTCTGAAATAAGAGGCAGTCGTGACCCTGCCCTTCCTTCACATGTCAGCCCCCTTCAAGGAACTGCAAAGCTAAACCATCCTGGGCCATCAGTTCAGCATTTCCTTCATTTTATCTCAGGACTTTACGTGTCTCCTATCAAAACACAGCCATATGCATCTGCAAAAACCCCATTTCACTTTCACTCTTAGTGTTAAAATGTATATTGGATTTGCCAGATTGAGATAACCTGTGACCAAACCTGTGTTAATTACAGCAATAGCAATTAAGGAGGACAAAACATGAGCAGGGTAATGGGATGAGCTAACACCATCACCAGGGTGGGATCAAAAGGAAGGCTCTAGGCGATGCGCATGTCACTGCTCATCAGTTTGGGAGGGATGGATGGTCATCAGGCCACCTTTGAAGCCAGGTCTATTCCATGGTTTGCCCCTAACCTGGTCTGCTGTTTAATGCAAGCAAGTTTGCTGCACCAGAGGCAGCAGTCTGATGCTTTCTGAAAGCTTTTGCAATGTTGAGCTTGCATGGAAATAAATGAACACAAGCTTGAGCTGTTTTTCGAATAACAAGAATAGCTTTCAAACATCAGGTTTTCTGGAAGGAGTGGAGAGAAAGGGCTCTGGATTACAAACCGAATAGCGAGTTTCCAAAGGAGGTACCTGTCACTCTGCTAACAGGGAAAGCACGATTCCCTGGCGAGCCACCAAACGTTGCAAAGGAGGGTGCGTGGGGAGCTTGCAGACCGTGAGGCCGCGGGGCTGCGTCCTCCCACCGAGCGGCTGTAAACGCCAGGCCCACTCGCAGCACATTGGGGCGAGATGAGCTGGCTAGGAAGAGCCAGGGGGGAGGACACAGCACGGGCGTGTTCACGGAGACTCAGGCTTCTTGCTGAAGAAGCACTCGGGGGCTGCGTGTCCTCCTCACTGAGCATCTCCTCCCGCAAACAAGCCGGGCTCCGGCAGCAGGCAGCCCACTGGCCGGGCTGGGGAGGCAGCCGTCCCTGGCAGCCTCTGCCGCTCGCTCCGGCTGTGATTCAGCGGAGTAGAAGTGGGTGTCAGCAGAGAGCTAGTCAAGCATAGGGTTTTACCTCATCCTAGAGTAGTAGCTAAAATAGGTCAAATGAATCACACCCTAAAAATGCCTGTTTCTCTCTGTTGCCTGTCAAGGGAAACGAGGGTGACTAGCTCAGCTGTAGACACCTACACTGTGCAGATCAAGGGCAGGACTCAGTTAAATTTAGGTATCTAAATGATGTGAGCCTGGTATGTAACCTCTTATTACGGCTAGTTGGTGGCTGGTTGCTGCAGCCAGTGGAGCTGAGAGAAGGGTAGAGATCACCCTGGCAGTGACATCCACTGCCTCAGCGGACAGCCTGCGCCCTCACCTCCACTCGCTGCATGGCTCTGTGTTGACTGTGAACTGACACAGGTGAAGACACTGACATTTAGATGTTTATAGCAGGTGTCCAAGCCTACCCCAAAGGCTAGAAAACACCTCGGTTGTAGCAGCAGAGATAAAGATGTTTGTGTGCTTTTTTCAGTATGTTATGGCAACGAAATGTGGGAACAACTACAAAAAAATTCGGACAGCCCCGAAGTGTAGAGGTGTGCAGAAGGGGAAGGAGGTGGCACAAGCAGTCCTCTGCAAGGATGTGCTTGTAGCTGCTGGAGCCCCCTCCTACCCTGCTGCTCCTGCTCTGCCTGCAGCCTCTCACTTTATGCCCCAAGCATGACACTGAGTGCTCTGGGCAGGCTCAGCTCCTGAACACAAGCCCCAGTCTGAGCTCCACTGGGCTATAAACCTCTCACGTGGTCTGACAGGTGATTTAAGCATCCTACCCCAAAAGAGTGTCCAGGGAACACATTTACATCAGCTGGTATCCCAGGCTTAGATCACAGCTGATGTGCACTGAAACAGGAACGCTGCTGCAGTCCCTTCCCATGAGGTCACCCCTTGCGTGTTGCTGCTACAAGGATTGCAGAGCTGAACTGCACAGCAGAGCTGATCCAGCTGTACAAAAAGAGCTTTGCTGCTATACATACATTTATTTTTCATCCACACCAGTCCTGTAGCCAGTTTATCCTATGGCCACACAAACTCTTGCTTTGGACAAGGGCTGTTTTTCTTACCAGCAGCATCACCTTAAGCACACGTTGGCTGCTTCAACTCACCTGATCTCACATTCCTGTTTCCATTACGTTTCTGAAAAGCAAGAGGCTCCCACCCACCAGCACTGCACTTTATTCAGAGCCTGATGTGAAGCATATCAAAAAGCATTAGGAATCTTTCTCCTGGTACTGGTGGGCTTTAGCTACAGGCTGGATTCCTTCTAAGATATCCCACACTCTTACACATCTCCAGCTTCCCTGAGCATACTGGGTTTGAAATGATGTCTAGTCAGGACCTGTATTGCATTACATTTGACAATCTAAACACACATACTTGCCCCAGAGCTACACGGTTGTTTGAAAAGGTTCAAGCAAAATTTCTACAGTCTTAACATGTCAGTTAGTTTGCTCAGGCATTTTTTAAAATAAATGCTTTTTAAAGAAATATGTGTATTAAAATGAGGAGGACGTTTTGTTAAGGCATATGACTAGGATTACAGAAATAATGCTTTGCAATAAAAATTTGAACTTCTCACTTAAAACCTCTTTTCCTGTTTCCCAATGTGTAAAATGCAATAATTAATGCTTGTGCACATTTTTAAAGCACTCTTTCAACCCTGGATGAAAAGTCCCATACAAACATTAAGTATTATTACATCTGGCTACCCTGAGCTGCCACGTTCAACAAGTTCCACTGTTCATTTCAAATAAGCCAAAAAATTAATGTCATTTGGTTGATGACAGGAGCCAATCCTGATCTCCTTTAAACCAAATCTTACCTATTTTTTTTTTTTCAGGTTCGCTCCAAAGAGTTGGCACTGAGAATATGGTTTGATTTGCCCATCCCCTACCATGATATTGCTTTGTCTCCCCATCCAAACAATTGAAACACTTTTCACAGGAAAATAATTAAAAATATGGGGATTCCTTTCAGTTTCACATTCATTTTTCTGAATGACCTAAATACCTAGTAAAAGGCTTCCCTGCCAGTCAGCTTTTTGCAGTAGTTTCAGTCAGTTTAAGGCTGTACAAACCAGAAGGGCTATTAAGAGGGCAGGCTCCTCCTGCCCCCTTCACCCCAGTGCTGTCACAGCCATGCCTGAAGTCAGCAGGTCCTAAAGTGACTCTGTGATTGTGATGAAGCTGGGAAAACCCACTATTGCCTTTTTTTAACCACTCCCTCAGTTCATGCTGAAAATTTGTCACTCAGTTTCTCCACTCCCCACTTTCCCTATCCATAAAATGTGGAAACATTTCCATGCACATGGGTGTTTTTACTAAGTTTTCTCATGAGCAGCAATAAAACCTATCTGAGATCAAAACATGTAAGGGAAAAAGAGGTTTGGTTTTAATTCACAGACCTGGGCAGAGGTGAGTATGGAAGATGTAAAAATAAACTCATGACTTAATTGTACACTGTACCTTTTGGATTAAATCCCCTAGGTAGCAATCCAAATGCCTCCATCTCAGGGACCTCATTTTCTTCCTCATTAGAGTTGTTTAATGGGAGGGCTCTTCTCCCATTCAGAGGAGGTTTCTTCTCCTCGTTGGTGCTCGTTGTTTCAGACATCCTGTATTAAAAATATTGTAATATCAAGAAAGAAATAAAGATGTAAGGAAAAAGCAAACAAGAGCCAGCATGACACATGTAAGATGGGAGAAACCAAAAGCAGTGTGGGGTGCCAGTGAGCTACACATGTTTAGACTCACATAAATAAAAAACTGTGAGGCAGAAAACATCAGTCTAATGATGGAATACAGCTCTCTAAGGATTGGAAGGCATTTTGTGTTTGTCAAAACACACAAATAAGAGAAGAAGGGTGACAGGAGAAGGAGAGGGAAGCCTAACACAGAAATGTTTGCCTAGGAGAAGCAGGGCATTAAAAGTATTAAGGAGTTCCAGGTAAAAGAACTGGAAAATCATTCTCTCCCATCCTCCAAAACAGTATTACTGAATACAAAATAGTAAAAATAGCAAATTATATTTCCAGAAAGTGCATCACACACTACATCCCTCAAATAAAAATTACATTCTGAGTTGTACTGCAATCATCCCAAATACTACAGCCTACAACAGTCTGTATGATTACTAGAGAATTGTATTTTTGTCCTTATGCACACAAACACCCAATATCTAAAGGGCTAACTCCTGTACCCAGACAATCTGCTCTTGAGAAATAGAGAGGGAGAGAGAGAAAGAGAAAGAAAGGTGAGGGAAGGGAAAAAAAGGGGAAAAAAAAAAAAAAAAAAAAGGCACTTATCCACTTATTTCTCTCAAATTAAAATCCCTAAGGGAAATCTCAGATGTAGGCTGATCAGAGACTTCTCTTTCAGCTAGTCAAAACTGCTCTCACATCTATTTCAGTATAAGCATGTAGCAATGAAAAAGCCATGCCATCCTAAGAAAATATTCATGGCTGAGAACACAACTTCTTCCCAAAGCTCCTGAAAACAACAGTTCAAAATGCAGCAATTATTTAATAGCAATAAGCTCTTAAAGGAAGATTTTTTAGTTAGCAAGGGTACCTTCTTTTCAGATAGTCTTTTTTTTTTTTTTTTCTTCTCCCTTGCAGAATTTCTGAAGTGCAATAGAAACCTGGAAAATGTTGGGGGCTTTTAAGTATCCTCTATATATTCTCCTCCCTCCTGTTGCAATAGGACAGTGCTGAAAGGGTTGCCAAGCCCTCCCCACACCACCTCTGAGGATCTGCCACCACTGCTGGCACGTCTATGCTTACTCCCTCCCTCTCCCTGCTTGTCCTACCCCAACCCTGCTCACCAGGAGTATTTCAGGGTGCTTGGGCTAAGGAGACATCTTAGGCACTAAAGTTTCAGTTCTTAGTGAGGCAGTGTAGAACTGCTGATGGAACAAGGGCATAAGAAGTGAGAGACTGGAGGGCATTTTCTGAGGGCGACAGCCCAAGGAGCCATGCTCACCATGTTGCCAGTCTTTAATGGCATCTCTACCTCAGGCTGCCTGTAATGCAGCCTCAGATGCTCGTTCTCAGGGTAATCCCAGGAAGACACAGCAACAGTTCCCCTGCCTGGTGCCTCACAGTAATCTTTTCAGAGGACTGTTGGGCATGTGGACAAGGAGAGCTTGTTGGTGGCCCAGGGGAGAGGACCTTTTTCTTGAGACTCTCTGCATTTCAGGAGAGTGGTATTTTGTACCAGAGCTATGTGTGGGTCAAAAGACATTCAGCTTCATGATAGAATGTGCATCACCTAACAACCAGGGGCTGGGGCAGTACCTGGTGAAAGTATTTTAGTTCTATGTCAACTTTGTTCAGTTCTACCAAGCTCTAAGATAACTGGGGACTGTGTGACACCTATTCTGTCAGACATAACTTCACAGACCAGTGGAGTTACATGGAGAAAAATTAGTGTACAGGGAAGAATTCAGACCCGCTGTCCTGCCAGCCGCTGCTGTTTGGCAGCAGAGGTATAAGTCACCTACTAAGAGCACCCACGGGCACTGGAGAGCCTCCCTTGCATGCATGGGACCTGCCATGGGCGCTTATTTGCCTCAGTTGCAGGGTAGAGGGAGTGAGAAGACACAGTGAAGAGAACTCCATTCTCTTTCAGCCCACTATGACTTCCAGGCTTACAGCCTTAGTGAAGCCTCAAACCTCTGCTGGCTTAACACCTTTGAAATCAAGCCAGGAGGTAAAAGAGGAAAAAATCGGGTCACATTCCTGTAATGGGAAGCAGCAAGTAAATCATCTGGAAGTCAAGACCCCCATCCTAGCTCCCCGGGGATTTCCCAGGCACAGCGAGGTAGCTCCAACATGAGCCAGGGCAGCTGCACAGCGTGGGGCAGAGATGCCAGCTGAGGACCTGGGAGCAGCACCGGCCGCACCAGCACGGCATTGTAGCCAGGCTAACGAGCCTGCCAGGGCTGATTGCCGAGGCACAGGACCAGGCTGCAGTGGTTTCGGGGGCAGCCTCGCTACCCGCGCACGAGCGTTGTGCTACGCTGCCCCGTAGCCAAAGGGCTGGAGCTCTCTCCCACCTCCCCCAGCAGGCTGTTAGGCGTGCAGCACAGAAAGCCACCAAGCCGGGGGACTCCCCGTCCCCTGCCCTGCTCCCCCAGGAGGGCAAGCACCCTGCGGGGACAAATCTGGTCCTGTCGCTGGCATCCTGAGCTGCGATTCCCATTGACTCGCTTTCACACAGATGGGCCCTGCGGTAACCATCTGGAGGGCAAGCGGCACCCCTGGCACCCGGGAACACAACGAGCTTTCTGGGGGAGGAGGCTGGTTGCTGAATTTCTTTCTTTTTTTTTTTTTTTTGTTTTTTCCCGTCCCCCTTCCACCCTGATTTCTACATGACATGGTGTCATGGTTTGGGCCTGGTTGGCAACCAACCCCCGCAGCTGGTCACCCTCCCTGCCCCCTCCCCACCTGGGAATGGGGGAGGGAATTAGAGGGGTGAAGGAAGACTCACAGGCTGAGATAGAAACAGTTTAATAATGGCAATAAAATGAGAACAATGACAATGATAGGGGGAAAACAAAAAGAAATATATAAACAGGCAATGCACAACATAATTGCTCACCACCCGCTAACCAATCCCCAGCCCGTTCCTGCCGAGCAACCCCGAGATACCAAGATCCCACAATCACAATCCCAGAATCGAGAGAGCTCCTTCCCAACCACCCCTCCTCTATATAGTGAGCATGACGTTCCATGATATGGAATATTTCACTGGCCAATTAGGGTCTGGTGCTGTGGCCGTGCTCCCTCCCTGCTCCCTGTGCCCTTGCGCACGGGCAGGACATGGGGAATCGGAGAGTCCTTGAAGTCTCGGTAGCAGCTGAAAACATCAGTGTGCTACCAGCGTTCTTCTCATACCAAACCCAAAGCTAAATCCAAAACACAGCACTCATCTAGTCCCTGAAAAGGAATATTAACTCTATTTCAGCCCAAACCAAGACACACAGTGTGCTTTTCGCCTCTCTCTCCACTTCCAGCCAGCGCTCCAGTTCTCAGAATTGCAGCTGCTGCAACGACGTTACAAAAACTGACATAAATATTGCCTCCGTGCCATGCCTGCTGGAGGCCTGCAATACAAATAAGAAACGCCGTCTCCTGAGGAAGTCATGTGCTTCCCCAAGTGGCTGCGGTGCTGTCAGAGCCGGGAGGAAAACTTTCCGTCAGAGGGAGGAAGAGAGCGAGCAGATGAAGCCGAACAGATCCCACTACAGCCGTTGCGCTCCGACAGCCAGCGGTTGCAGATGTCTCCCCGCGCCCATGCTCATCTCTCCGGGGCTTTCGGCAGAAGCCAACAATCGCGCAGAGAGGCCAAAATTTTGGGCAGTAGCGGCAGGAGCAGGGTTTTGCATCCAGGGAGAGTAACGTTCCACAGTCTGTAATTTATTTATTTTGTGGGGAGTGATGTAAATTCGTGCTTATGACAGCTCCAAATGGCAGGTATTTTCTCATTACCTTAACTTCTTAGCATTTTCTCTCCCTTGCCTATTGGACTGCACTGGCCTTAGTTTAACTTCCATGGTTTGAAACTACTGACATCAGGGCTGAGGCGGGAGGGGGCACAGAGAACACGAAACCCTGGTCTTCCAGTTGGGCCTTATATTTAATTAATGATGCACTGGGATGACCAGTGAAAGAGCACTCTCTCTTCCTGAAGCCAGTTCTGCACTGTACCCTGTGGGGAACCGTGAACCCATGCCCATTTCTCAGAGGCAGCCTTCAGATGCTTGTGGCCTTTGCCAAAGGCCTTTGTGGTCATGGGCACCCTTCCCAGTGCAGTGGACTTGGGATGATGGACAGCCCTTCCTCCCGATCCCTGCAGAAAAGCCTTTAGATGGCTGCAAAGCTTGCACTGTAAAGGATTATCCAAAATGCAGTTTCCTGTTGTCGCCAGAGCCAGTGTTGCTCTGTTCCAAGTCCTCTCGTGCCAGATAAGAGATGGTGGGGAAAAAAAATCTCACAAAACACAAGAGTCAGTAAAGCTTTACAGCCAGAGGAGAGGACGTGCCAAGATCCGTCACAAGCAAACTGATCAACCAGGTGCTCACATAAATGGGTTGCTGTGCTGTGTGCCAACGGCTGGATGGGAGAGATATTTTGCCTACCACTACTGTAGCTACACCAAAAACCCAGCAGCAGCTAAGCATTGTAAAGAACAGGGTGACTTGCTTTCTTCCTTTTTTTAAATATTACGCACGTGCCATTTACAGTCTAGATAGATGTTCAGATGCACGGGGACATTATACTACAGCATGTGCACAAGTGTACCTGTGAGGACATCATCCGCACTCCTCATAAGCCAGACTCTTTCAACTCTGGTCTTCTATACATAATAATACAACATTACCTCCCTCTTGTCTTCTCAGAGCTTCACTCGGGAACTTGCACACTTTCTTAGATGCTGAAGTCTGTCTTTCCCCTTCCTCTGCATCAGTACTTGTCTCCCAGAAACTGATGTTCCTCTTCCTACAATGCCCTGCCTCACCAAGGCTGCAGGCAGAGTAGAGCAGATTCTAGCAGAAAACATGAGTAAAAAAATGTTATTTTTAAACAGAAGCAAATATCAGAAATGTTCATTTGGTGGTTTTGTTTGCATATTTTGCTTTGGGTTTTGTAAAAAAACAAAACCTGTTAATATATCTGTCTACATGTAACAGCTCTGGCTACCACACACAGAGGAGTATATTTAAGTTAATGTTGAAAATTCAGAAGGCCCAGCTCTGAAACACGGCATGTGTACACGTCTGTATGTGTGAAAGAGGGGCAGAGGCTGAGAGAGATAAAATGGCAGCTCTTCAGATGGTGGGGCATTTGAATAAGGGGATATAGGGCCAGTTTTAAAAAAATATTGTTGCAAATGTTTCTGTTGCAGGAATAAAAAACCCCATATCCATATATATATATGTGGCTTAGGAAATTCAACTCTTCTCTGAAAAACTGTTGTTCCAAACTGCAAGTCTAAATTCAAACTGTAGATTTGTATAGGCATCTACATCTGAGCTGGCCATCTCAGGCTCTCTTTATCCTCCGCACAGATCTAGTCTAGGCAGTGATTCATCTCCTCCTACAGCAGACATGTAAATAGGTCAGATGAATCATGGCCTAAAAGTGCCTGTTCCCTGTATTGACTGCAAAGGGATCTTGGGTGATGGGTCCCACCATATGTGTCTACACTGCCAATGTCTATAGTGAGGTGAGATGAATCCTAGCCTAGGCACAGAAAAAGAAAAGGAATTTATTTTGGTTTTGAGGCCTGGCTTTCAAGTGCTAAATTATCCTTTACTTTTATGGAAAATAGTGCTGCAAATCACTATCAGTGATACACAGTATACAGTTCAATATGCTTTTTTTCTCTCAGAATATGTGGCTGCCACTCTCAATTATGTAAAATATATTCCTTACAATAAGTGTCAGCTTACAGTAAAGTACATACAAGCTCATGAGTTCAGACTTGGGAAAACACATGCATCTTTTCGTACTCATCTGTGAAGGCGTTTTGCTTCCTCAGACAGAAATATAACTGTACATGTAGTAACTGCAGCAAAATAAGAAAACAATTGTATTGTCTGTCATGAACATACAGTTCAGGCTCTCACTCCTATTCTTACTGACATCGGAATCCAAAGCACTCGGTTGGGTACTAGGGGCTGCCCTAGCTTCTTATGGAAAGAGTGAGAGAGAAGCCAAGCTAGGGCAAAGAGGCCTTTTGTAAGAGATGATATTCACAGGCTCCATCTAAGTTTGCTGGAGTTGAGGACTTAAGAGATGAAAGAACACCTCTCAAAAATGAAATTGGACAACTTCTCTGCTTTGGCCAGCTGACCCAGAAGCTGATAGAGATACAAGGCTATGGACCTTACATTTTTATTTCAACCCCAAAAGAAAAGAACAGGACAACAAAGTGAAGTCATAACTACCCAGAAATTTAAGCAGGAAAAGCCAGTTTAGATAAAACATTTGTCAGAATAAATTTCACCACACGTGCTGTATATATGGGCCAAAGAAAGAGACTTTTCTAAAGCAACCACTTCAGTACCATTTTGTTGTTTTAACCCCACATACCCAAAGAGAAGCTCTTGGCCAAGGGATCAACCCTACTTGGTCCATCAGGCAATGGCACTGAGAAGAGGGACTGTAACTTGAAGAGCAGGGGAAACAGATTATTTGCATGATCCCCTTTCAGAGACTATTGACAGGTATCTACTCCTCCTTTGGACAGCCATTGTATCTAGAGACAGGCAGAGCAAACAATATATTCAGTCTGGTAAGACTTTGTCTATCATTCTTGCTATATACTCACAGAGCTGCTTCAAGTTTTTCCAATGCATCAGTCTCCTCAGAGTGAATGCTGATTCCACAACACTGAAACATTTTCAAGAAAATGACAATTGATTATGGTAAAACAATTAGCAAGAAGTTACCAAAACATGCTTAGTTTTGATTTGGTCATTTAAGCTTTTAAGTTTGTAGCCAGGCTGCAGTCCCCAGGTCCTGGGATGTCTATGGCAGGACAGGCTTGGGGAACTCGGGGAAGGGAACCTTAAAGTTTCTGCAAAGACCCAGCTTGAGTTTAAGTAGCTGCAGCTCCGTCTTGCACCCAGACTGACTGCTGCAGAGCTGCAGCTCTCAGCTCCAGAAGGGCTTACTTATCAGCACTCACACAGCACTAGATGTAAACATCCATTTGTGTTGTGCCAAAACTACCATGGCATCTGGACAGTGTGAAGTCATCTTGGATACATCCAGGCCAAAACTGATAACCTAAGAAAGACCCAAAACACCTACAAGCACAAACACAGAGTCTGCACCCTGTGCCCCTGAAGCACTTGTGTCAAAGACCTGGTCCAAGATGCTTGAGATGTCCCTACATAAAGCGATTTGGCTGAGCAGGGTTTAGCAGGTCCAGCTCTATATCATGAACAGATGAATATCCTTGTTTTAGTGCTGGGCTGAACAACAGTGTTCATGAAGCATTACACCTCAGCCAAGAAACTAGATCAGACCAGAGCTCTTCCTGCATGCAGAGGGTGGGTAATACACAACCCAGGCAATCCCAGCATGCTTAGTTGACAGTTGGTTCTAATTAATTTAGTAACATATGTGGACATGCAATGTTTCAATCTTAATGTCACAAAGCGTTTCAACATTACTGACACACAATGTTTCAAGCACGCTCAGTTACAAGATTTCTGGAATTAAAGATTTCCTAAATTTCATTTCAGGGTAAAACTTCCTGTTCCAGTTCAGAACAAAAATACATTTTAAAATGCCTGAATGTCTTGTAGAACAGCTTTCCCTCTTAATACAAACACAGATGTAGTGTGTAGGCCCATACACAACAAAACACTTAAGCACATCTTAACTTCAGTCATGTAAGTAATTCCATCTTTAGGCATATGCGTGAATTCTGTAATGGGCTTAGCTCAACCAAATCAAGTCTGTATAATATCTGTTTGTACAGAAACACTTAAGCTGCCTGTTGATATTGCGTTTCTGCAGCATGATGTTGCAGTTTAACAGTCTCTAGTGCAACTGCTGCTTGACTGGTTTCAAAGACGGTTGTCAAAGTGGGTTGTTGACCTGTCTTTCAGTCCCAAGGCTGACCTTATCTTTGTGCAAATGAGATGAGTAATTGCTTATTTAAGGAAGTGTGCAATGTTTTGAGAAGTAGGTTCAAGTGTGGATTGTAAAACATCACAACTGGTTGGTTTGTTAATGGCAGATGTTCAGGAGGGAGAAAGGAAATTGAAAGGGTGTATCATTATCCAGATGAAGTTCAAAAGCAATTTAAAAGTAAATCCGTAATCACAGATGTGTGCCAAATATGCCCGTCCAGCAAGAGCTGTAGGATTTGATTTTTGTGAAGTCTGTAAGTTCTTTCCTTTGCTATTCCCACTATAACCTTTTGCAGTTTGATCTAAGGAAACATTAACCAGATGGTCCCCCCACCCTCAGGAAACATTGCACCTGGGGGTTGAGACATGACCTTTCTCTGGTAAGACTGTTTGGTGGGACAAGCCTTGTGCTTGTTGGGACACGCCCTCTGTTTGCTGGGACATGCCCTGTGTTTTGTTAAGACATGCCGTTTATCTGTTAACATGGGAGTTGCTTGGGGAGGGTCGGCGCCGGGGGGGGGGGGATGCTTTCTGTGGGGTATATGTCAAGGATTTCTCAGAACTAATTGTAATATTCCCTCCCTATTCCCGGAATTGTGATACGTATGTAACATTCTATGTAATAAAAAGGAGCCGCTTGTGGCTCTAAGCGCACGTGCATTTGGGAGATTATTCCCCCGTGCGCCCAGCGCTGAATAAACACAACTACTTTATAACCTTACTGGTTGTAAAGTCGTGATTCTGCGCCTCAGTGTGGCCCAAAAAAAGGACAATGTAAGAAGAAGTTAATGCTATCTAAATGCTCCATATACCTGTCTCTTTCTATAGTGCTGTGCTGCATCCACAAGATTACTGTCATTGTGAACAGTGGAATATAAATACTTTTCCCTTTGTGCTAGTAGTGAGCTCCAGGTTGGAGTAAAATAAAAGTCAGATCAGCTGAGGGACACTGCATCAGGAGGGCAACTCCAGCACGCACCCACAGGAAGGTCCTTGGCTCTTCAGCTAGTGTTAAAGCCCTCTGTTAGGAAGAATGGGCACGTGCAGTATTTCTCTCACGTGTCCAGAAGCTGTCTAAATCCTGTCAAAGCTGTACAAAGTCCAAGGTAATAACCACGGTCAACAGATGCCCTCTCCACTGGAGGCTTATCCATCCTCTCCTGCAACTCCAGCTCTGGTTGTGTGCCCCTAACAGATCAACCTCTACAAAGTTTTAGGCTGTAAACCTGCAAGAAGGCACGCTAGGACAAAGCTCTGCAGGCAGGTATCTTCTCCTTGATCTCTCTCTGGCCCATCTCTCTCTTGGCTGTAATCTTCACAAACTTTTGCAGCTATTGTAGGAATGGTATGATCTTTCATTCTTTTTTCTTTCAAGCCATTTTCTTCAACAACCTTACACTGCTTTTGATTTCCTCTTAAAACATCAATAGTTGGTTGCTGGGGGAGCATTTACTACTTCACTAATAGATTGGAAACTCATCTGAAAAACAGCAGTGCAAACAAACAGGAATTGATCTATCTTTTATACTAAATGATCATTTTCTCAGACAGGCCCTTTGAATTCTTAATCTTCAGACTTGTAAAAAATTATAGTTTGTTCAACTCATACAAAAAGAATGGGCTCACTCTGGCTGTGGCTCAGATATCTCAACCCAAATGCCTTGTTTGCCTGGGATTCCTCTTGAAACTCTGTAGTCCCTGTAATTTAGTTGGAGGATTCCTTGGAGACGTGCGTGAAAATGGAGTACAAGCAACATGTTAGGAAACTATAAGAAAAATGGTGGTAATGTTAAGTTGAAGCAGTAACCAATGTATTTTCAAGTAAGAGCATAAACATGCTTCAAAGGCATCCACTGGAATACACAGATAGAAATGGGTTCATTCAAAGTCCTGTCTGT